GATGAAGCATTAAAGTTCAGTCTCTAGGACCCTGAACACTGACAGTATTAGTGGTTCTATGCTTAGAAGGGTTTCTTTATGAAGATTGTGGCACATAGTTCAGCGTGTAAGATGTTCAAGATAATCACAATTTTCCTCGAAAAGAGCATTTTACATGAAATTGGCCTGAAATGCACAGGGTGAAAAATGTGTGGTTTTTAACTTGTTTATATTATATCCATAATATAATAAACGAGAACTAAGGCACCATCTCAAAGCTAATTTTATTATTATGTATGACGACTGAATAGTTTAGTATTTTCAAATCTTTGAGCTATAAAATTGCATAACTTAAATTACTACAATTGATCCACATTCACATAAATGGTCAAGTGCCTACCAAGGTTTTGTTGAATGTCCAACGTCAATTACTGATTCAATCTAGAGCATGACAATAATATATCTTCAGTGCATTAATTTTCAGAATTGCTTTATGAGCGGAACTTGATATAACAGCTTTCATTTCATATTGAATTCATTGGCGGTATGTTTTGCATAGACTTAAAAGGCTCCCGTTTGTAACAGGGAATGTCGAATTTCGTTCTTAGTACATATATTTCACATCTGATGTGCATCTTTTTCCAGGTGAAGGCACTTAAATATCTCAAGAAGTTTGAGACCATCTTGAAGTTGGACCATCCTAAATTGAGAAGTGGTTCCTCGCACTCGACTATCGGATAATGGATTATTTCTGAAAACAAGGAATATTTGGATTTTTTAGCAAGATGAACTCATTATTGTTTCCCTTTAAATTTGCATTTGTAAATATGACTGATACATGACAGAATGTATATTGGCCACTGGCTATTGAATTTGGCTTATGCCAATTTACAATCCTAAGCGAACCTGGCTTAATGTAAAGTTTGTAACATCACTCTAGACCTAACTGCTACCGAGAAGGTTCTATAGCCACAACGCATTGCTTATTCTCAGTTTCTTTCAGCATGAAATATACTTAAAAAGAGTCCCAGATTGAAATAGC